CAGATTTAGCTTGTAATATGCCTCATCTGTTTAATCTTACACCTTTCCCTCCAAGAGGTGGAGAACAGCTGTTTTTGAATGCTGCTGCTGCTGCCACTGCTGCAGTCCTGTCCTGTTGCTAGGAGTGGCTAGTAGGAGCCTGGGGGGCGAAGTGACTCAGTACATTGGCTATGGACTTTCCTAAATCCTGACTGTGTCTCCTTTGGCAGTGTAGGCTGGGGTAAGGAACATATTAAAGAGTTATCTCACTTGTTATTGAACATACCAGTGTATTTGCCAGTGATGAGCTGAGACACCTAAGTTCTAGTCTCCAAATCAGAATGACATTCACTTATGTATTCAACAGGTTCATGCATTCCCAGACTACAAAGTGAAGATTAGCCTTCCTACTTGATGAAGTGCTGGGAAGATGAATTTCCTTTAAGTCATAGTCACTGTTATTCTCTCACATCTTTGAGGGATGGAACGTAGTGGATAGAGTAAAGCAGACCTCTCTCTGGTCGCCTCAGGTGCTCACCCCAGGATTGGGTGTGCTTTGACACAAGGTTTTCTTTAAGGAAGGAAACTGTGAAAGTGAAGAAAGGAAGAGTCCTTTCCCCAAAGCAGCAATGTGGTTTCTAGTCTTGATGGCCTAGGTATTGTGAGGAGCACCTAAGAATCTAGACAACGAGGCAGCAGCATTTTTAGATGTCAAGTTAAAAGCAGTAACTCTTTTAACCATTACAGACCCCATGATGTGCAGTATGATTTTGTCCTCCTGCAATTCTGGGAAGCTTAACTGCTTCCATTAGCAATTTACCTCAGCGTCCAGTTGACATTTACTGGTAATTTGGCTATGGCAGATAACAGTGTTCCTCCTAAATTTTCTGCTTTGTCTCCCTTCAAGGTAATAATCTTCATAGCAGGAAAATCTAACAGATTAGAGTTATACTCCTAACTGGTGCTTTGGTTTTTAGGGAACTGTAATCTTAACTTTAGCAGTGACACCCTGAGCATGTTTGTCTGGTTCTGCAGTGAGAGCTTCTGCTATGTGAATGTAGCAGTGATCTGGCCAAGCTTCTGTAGCCTTGATCCTTTGTTCTTTTTACTCAGTGTCATAAGTTCTTTGTGAAAGTGGAATTGGGTCCATACATTGTGTTTATCATCCCCAAGGGAAATAGCTGAACAATATTATGAAGGACTCCTAATTATTTCCTCTTTGGAGATGGGAAAAAAAATAATCTTTATTCAGACAGCTGGTCAAATAAACAATACAGTTTATTGCATTGACATGTAAATGAGAATTAACTCAGTAAAAACCTAAACCAGAATAGAGTAGCATTGCTACTCTCTAATACTTGTACATTTGTGGTACAAAATAGCTGCATTAACTATAGTGGGGAAAATTTGACTGCAAAGGACTTCAGCATGAAAGTGCATGCTCCTTCCCTGGTAGTGTTCAGTGCCAGTCTGGACAGGGCCTTGGGTGACAAGGTCTAGTGTGAGGTGTCCCTGCCCATGGCAGGGGGTTGGAACTGGATTATCTTAAGGTCCTTTCCAACCCAAACTATTATGTGATTCTAGGACCAAAATAATTCACTTGGAAACCTGAATTACTATTAAGTCTGTAATGCCTGTGTCTTGTTGCTATTATTACCTGTGCTACCAAGTTAAAGCTAGCCTGGATTTGACCACATATGCTACTTCAGTGTAGACAAACTGCATTAGAGTCATTTAGGTGGTCATGAAAATGTAAAAGCTTCCAGTCTTCCTCTTGCTGTTGTTTCAAAGTCTTGTGCAAAAGTTAGCACTACCTCAGTGATGCAAATGTGAATGATGTAAAATGATTTTTAAAGAAGCTTTAAATCCAAATAGTTTTACTGATATATTTTAACACCCAAATACACCCAAATCTGGTTTTAGCTCAGTGAGGAGACAGAAAACTATGGGGGGCAAAAAGGAAGAAATCGTTAAGAGAAGTCAGGAACCAATTCAGCTAGATAAATTGTTTTGTGAAGCTACCCTCTGAGGAGAAGCAAACATGAGACTAAACTGCTTTATCTCCTGATAAATCAGAGGATGCTCTTGAATATAAAATACGCAGGAGATGGCAAATTTAGGAAAACATAAAGGGACAAGTACACAGCTGGTGTAAACTGGTATGAATGTATTACACATGTAGAGCCAAGCATATATACAAGGGTTGAAGATCTGCCACTACTTCAGAGGGAAGGATTCTATTTAAAAGGGGGGAGTCAAACAGAAGAAAACAAGCCAGTCTGACAAATAGACTTTCTTTCATCCATAATCTCTAATGCTCCAACTTTTGAGGATTTTTTGTAGAAATTATACAAAACAACACAGTCATTTTGAAGAGTGATTCATGATGATGTATTTAAATACTGTGCTGTTACGATCTCCTTTGAGAGCAGTGTGAGCAGAGTGAAAGCTGTATGTCCATCCCGAATGATGCTAGTGTTGATGCCTTCTGTCATCTTGCCCGGATTGAATCTTTGTCCTACTAAGATTATCTGAATGCTATAACTGCTAGTCTCGGAGATACCCCAGGAGATACATTGCCCATTGTACTTTATGAAAAACCTATCCCAAATCTGCCTTTCACTTGCTTCTGAGTTTGTACTTAAAAACATATAGTCATGGGATTTTATTGGTATTTATCTGTGGTGTCATTTATCTAATGTAGATGGTAGTTTTTCTGTATGTGGAAACGTGTGCACAATAGTACAATGGCAGGAATGTCCCAGTGTTGTGCCAAGTGGACAAAGAACTGATTTTTCTGAAATAAATGGGGACGTGGTTTGTTTCCTTTACTACCTCCTTCACACACCTGAATTGGCAAGTTAACTGCCATGGGAACTGGATTGAATGGAAATACTGCAGATTATTACATGGCTGCTTCTCCTGCTAGTGCTTTTGGCATCACTGTTGTCTGATGTGAGCTGCTGGTGAGTGTTGTGGTACGGAGATGGCCCAACCTAGCTGTCTAGGGGCAAAACTTTTAATTTGAAAGGAATTACAGCAAAGCATGGATTTTAGTAGTTACTGCTGTAGTTACTCAAACCCAGCATTCTGTAGAAGTAGTTGTTCTGCCTTCCCCGTCGTAACCTATCCTTCCAACACATGTTCTTTGTCTGAACACACACAAGTGGTTCTGAATCAGGTCAGGGAACTGATGCTGGGGACTAGCTGAGCAATTCCTCTGGGAGTCTTGTTATACAGCTAGGGAAACATTTGTGTCAGTACAGGAGAGGAATGGGGAGGCATAAACTGCTCTGGGACTGTAAGACTGCTCCCTCTTGGTATCAGGACCAGCCTGGTGTTACCAAACTATAACTTTGAGGTGCAAGCCAACCCGAGTACATGTTACTATCAAAATAGGTAGTCTTTGTGCCCTCAACTTTTGTGTGTATTCTCACCTCTTCCAGCCCCAGCAGCTTAGTGGAGATTCAAGTGAGCTTTCCTTTTCTGACTGAAAAATAACTCACCAACCTCCCCCACCCCCCCCAGAATCTTCTGGCTGGTATTAACTCTCTCATCTAGCTAACCAGAGAGTCAGTACAATTGCTAACAGTGGCACAAAGCAGCAGTAAGCGTGTGTGGCTACAGATGGAGAGAAGGCTGGACTGGCAACTTCCTAGGTTGACTTAAGTGTCTTGAGAAGTTGCTGCTTATGAGAAATTGGCTAACAGTGTTATCTTGCGGCAAAGAGGCAAGTTATTTTGTGTGGCGAAGGAAAGAGAGATTCATTATTGAGGTGGTCCAGTTTCAAGTGTGGCATTTCTTGTCCTAAGTATTGCTCTAGATCTTGAATAAAAAACCTTCACTGATGTTGGCTAAGAAAACCATGCAACAATAGCACCCAATATAGTCCTATTCACACTGTATCCACAGTAACAGGAATACACTTTCTTCAGTTTCCCCTTTCCCTCAGTTAAGCAGGAAGAATAAAATAGTCTGAAGTAGCCTACGGGAACTGACCATTTTCCGCTTTTCTGCGGATGTAAGGTAGCGCTTGGGCTTGTGGAGAACAGAGAAGCTCTAACGTTTTAGTTTTGAAAGCAAGGAAGCCGAGCTGGGCATTCCTACAAACCAGTTCAGAGCTTACGGGAACGCCTCTTCAAATAAGTGTGTTTTGAGTGACCCCTGCTGGAAACTTCAGACAACCAGGATTTTTAGCAGTAAGGTCCCATCATGAGGCTTCAATAGGCCAGCCCTAGGCACCCGCATGTGACAACTGGGACTGCTAATGGAGATGGGTTTGTATTCAGGTGGAACTGGGCTGGATCCATCAGCAACCAACATTCCTTACATTGCATCCTGTCTTCTTACATGCTCCATATCGTAGCTCCTGAGTCTAAACTGTGTGTGTGCTCACACATTTCTCTTTTCTGTTCTGGCTCTTTCCCCTTACCTACATATCCAGGGTGGAGAAGCTTTACTTGAGTTACTGTACCCTTATTTTTCCTCCTTAGTGAAGCAGCCCAATCTAGCCCTTGGTTGCATTGCTCTATCTCTACAGTGCATTCCTGTCTGCTCTTCACATGCTTTGTGAGTACCTCCATATACTGGTAAATATACTGGTAATTATCTTGATATACTGGTAACCAGTTATGGTTAATACCACCTAAGGCAAAGGACTGTCATATGCTTTAATTGTTAAGAGGATATTCCACCAGGTTCCCAACAAGGTGTATGCAAACCCCCACCAACATTTTTATGAAGTGGGATCTGGATTTTAGTGCATACTCCTGAGATTCCCCTGCTTGCTTGATGCATGTTGGTCTGTTTAAGGAGCTTTGGACACTCCAATACTTTAAAATCCTGGCTATGCAAGGTAATGGCGAAAAACCACATAACCACCTATTGATAACCATCTGTTTGTCTTGGTTGTTGTTGGATTTTGTTTGTTTGTTTGTTTTATTTTGTGTGGGTTTTTTTGTTTTGGTTTGTTTTTTTATTTTGGTTTGTTTTTATTTTGGTTTGTTTTTTTGTTTCGGCAGGCTGATTTGAACACCAATATTGAAGATGAATCCAGATCTTTCTATGGCGTTTCCAGCCAGTATGAGAGCCGAGAAAACATGGTCATTACCTGTTCCACCAAAGTGTGTTCCTTTGGAAAGCAGGTGGTAGAGAAAGTGGAGGTAGGGAGCAGACACCTGGGTGCAAGGTTCTCTGGCTGTTGTTTTGTGACTTCAAGTATTTGCATCCTATGTATATCTCAAGGCAAAATATGTCCAATTTTTGTTGCCAGGAAGATCAGTGCCATAAATTATTATTTCTGAGACATGCAGGTGTAAGATTGCTCCAGCCTGCAGCATGGCTTTGTCTCGGGACACTGGTAGTGTTTGATGTTTTTTTTTTTAATCTTAAATCTCAGTTTCTGAAGATAATGTGAATATGTAAGACTGAGCTATGGTGATTGTCTGGGTTTTTTGGGGGGAGCAAAGAAAAGCTATAGGAAACCCTGACACTTGTTCTGTATTCCAGAAATGTGAAAACAAATCAGCAAGATCTCACTCTCATCAGTGTTTTTAAACAGGTCATTTATACACTATCATCATTAATTAATAGACTAATAATGTACAGACTATAAAGGTTTTATGAAGCTTATCCTAGTGCTTGTACACTTGCAGCACTGTGTAACAGTGGAGCTGCATAATTGTGCCTGTATCTGGCACTGAAAGAAATTCTTTCTGATGTCATATTCAGCTGCTAAGGGAGCTGCTCTGACCTGCTTCCTGCTGCTCTCTTTCTTGAGGAGCCTTTAGATGCAGGAGGAGCAGCTATACGCAGAACACCAGGTATTCTTGTGTCAGCAGTCAGTGTAATTAATGCTACTTAATGTGACATCATTAGCCCCATGTGTCCCTTTCATGTTTTGCATTGCAGACAGAGTATGCACGCTATGAAAATGGATACTATTCCTATCGCATTCACCGTTCCCCTCTCTGCGAATACATGATAAACTTCATTCATAAACTCAAGCACCTTCCTGAGAAGTATATGATGAACAGTGTGCTGGAGAACTTTACTATCTTACAGGTGGGACTTTCAACTGTTTTCGTTGGAGCTTGGAAACCTGTAAGCCCCATGCAGGAGTTCACTGTTGTGAGTCAAAGCAGATTTCCTTTTACAGCTCAGCATCTAATTGAATTTAGTATCGCTCATGTGTATTGCACCTCATGACCTTTTATGGAGCTCTAGAGATAGTAACTCATGCAGAGAAGCAGCAGAAGAATTTGCGAGACCCAAGTTAAGATGGAGATAAAAAGAAAGATAAAGGGAGAACTCATGAGGCAGAGATATAAAGGAAGGAAAAAGATACAGAAGTCAGTGAAGGAAATGCTCATTCCATTATTGGACAAATGTTGGTCCTTTCTGTGCCCCGGTCCTTTTTGCAGGTAAAAAATAACAAGAGCACTTTTTAAAGTGCTCTTGTCTTCCCATGTCTATATAATTTTGCCATGGGAAGAGTTCTTCACTGACCAGGTTGGAGTGGGGTGTGAGAAGGGGAAGTTGCTTCCTCAGGACCATCCTGATCCAGGAAGAAATATGGAAGCACATAAAGGGCTATGTTGCAGGAAGTTCTGCGACCCTTCCATGAAGCCTCTGAAGCCGTTACTGCAGCTTCTAGATAGGGCAGTACTACAAGGCTATAGCAACTAGATTTGCATTGGTGTCTGTGTTACAGCAGGAGCCTTTCCAGGCTCAGATGTTGGCCAAATTTGGGGAGAGGGCAAAGACAGCTTAAACGATGGATTTTCCTTGGGCTGAGTTCTGTGCTTGCCTCTACAACACGCATCACAGATCTTCACCCAGAGGAGCTGTGGTTGGGTAAGTAGAAGATATGCTAGTGGCTGCATGAAAGAATGGAAATCAAGTGGTCTTCATTCCATTCTCTGGAAATCCTGTGGGACTTGAGGCAACTCATTTCACTGCTCTGTGATTCAGGTACCACAGCTGTAAAACACAAGGTTAATAATATCCCTCAGTCACTCCAGCACTTGCTATAAATTCTATGAACAAAGTTGTTATATATTTATACTTCCTCTGGAGCTTTACATTTTGAGTAATCTCATGTCCTTCTGCTATCCCATGTCACAGAGAGGCAGTCCCCACTACCAACTTCTGAGACAAGTCTAGTTATATTTTTTCTAGACCCTTTCATGATCTTAGATATGCCATATCTCACATGCATCTTGCTTTGCACATTGCTCTGCATCTAGCCCTCCAAGATTTCAGAGCCCATTTTTCAGAAAAGGCTCTGGTGCTTTAATATACGTGGATGTGTATAATTCACAATGGCCTGCAGAAGAAAGGAGAAGAGTTAGTTCAGCTGCAAAGTATGCTCATGAAGTAAGAAAAGAAAAAAGAATAGATCAAAACCAGGCTGCTAAAATTAATAAACAAGTTTGATAATGGCTATTGTTTTATTCCTGTTTTCACAAGAATGGTTGGACTTTGGTACAGTTCAGTCCTCCACCTGGTACGTTTTTTTTTCTGCAGTTGAGTTGGTGCTACTGCTGATAAAAATATATCACCTCCAGCAGGAGAGGACTGCTTGAGGCTTTAGCTATGACACAAACTCAGATGACAAGGGTGTGCAAAGTTGTGCAATGAAAGGGCAAAGCTGAGCTAGGAGTTCTGGGTGCATTATTTCGCTTGTCCCTGCTGTGTAGTATAAGCAGTGCATGCTTTTGAAACTGTTCCATCATCATGCTGCTGACACTGAGTCACATTTCAGAGAAGCTAAGGTTTCTGAGGGACCATAGAAGAAGAAATGGAAAAGAGGAGCTTCTGAAAGAATGTACAAATATAGCAGCCAGCCATCCTTCTACTGACATCTACAGAATGGGAGGCATAATGGAGTCAAACCTATACATCTCCTGTACAATGAGTTACATTCTATAATGTTCATGGTCTGTCCTTGTCTCACTGACAAGCAGGAGCAGATGGAGGCAAAGAACTGTTCATGACTGTGATATATCAACATATATGTGAGCAGGAATGGTTGTACCACAGGAGGTGGCTTCTCTGTACCCAACAAACAAAAGCAAAAAGATTTTCTGTGAATCACCTTCTGTCTGCTGAAATCTGCAACACTGGGGGTGGGGAGTAGAGGACCTAGTGAGACTTAGTGGACACGCTTCCATTTATGTGGTCAGTCCTTGGTCACAGCATTCTCTTCTCCACAGCGGACTCTGCTCACCTCCCTGTATCTTCACTGCATTGTAGTCCTGATGCTGCAAAAGTGCTTTGCCTGGGTGTTTGGGCACACAGACTGGGTGTTGTGGTGGCTGAGCTGTGTATCATTCCTCTTCTTTGCATATTACTGACCTTTTGCTCTACATGAAATATGTTGGAATATGTAAGCAGAGAAACAGCAGTTGCCATTTCAGTTTCTTCTCCTTTTCTGTCTAGGTTGTCACAAACAGGGACACACAGGAGACCTTGCTGTGCATAGCATATGTTTTTGAGGTGTCAACTAGTGACCATGGTGCCCAGCATCACATCTACCGGCTGGTGAAGGACTAGAGACTCTCAGCCCTGAGTCATCAATGGGATGCATGCCTAAGAAAAAAGCCTGTGCTTGAACAACCCCTGGCCCCTCATACCAAACTGAAAAATAAACTGCATATATTGTGTATTTTCAGAAAAGCACCTCTGAGCTGTTGTGTGATTGACAGGGTCAAATAAGTTTGTACCTGCAGGTTTGTGCAAATGGGAAAAAGACTTGGAGCCAAACAGGCAAATAACGCTTAAGGATGTCACCACAAACAGCATTCTCTGCAATGTATTTCCCACAGAGCACACACAGGGTGTGATCATACATGAAAGGAGTGGTATGCACCTCAGTATAAAGGTAGGACAATGGCAGCAGCTTCCACAATTTGATGACATACGAACAAGTTCAGGTTGAAAATGTTCATGCTACATCTGGTCTGAGGGTATGCATATGTGTGTATATATATATATATATATATATATATATACACACACATACATATTCATTTGTAGGTCAATACAACGTCAAGCACAGACATGCTTGTCATACATTTATATTGATGTGTGTGGGCACATGCAAGTGCGTAGAGATTGCACATATAACACATATCTGCCCGTCTAGCAGTCCACCTTAGCAGGCATGCAGTCAGAAGCTCCTTCAACCTTCCTCCTTTTAGAGGCTGGATACTGTTTCCCTCTCTTCCATGCATGACAGTGAGAGACTGACTTTTCTTTTGCCTTCTAAATGAAGTTATGCTTAGAAGATTGGGTGTGTTAAATCATGTCATCTTGCCCAGCAAATTTCCTCCATGTATCAGCTCTGCTAACTTGACAAAAATAATTCTTGCTGCTTTTGCTTGTTCTCCCTGTACAATTAGACTGCTCAGGGAGCTAGACTCTGCTCTTTTCTTGTGCACCAGCAAAATAATTGTTTACTGAGATCACATTCTTCCACCTGTTAGTTTCAGACAGTGAGCATGCAAGTATTGCAAAAATGCCATTTGGCCATCAAATTGCGGGGAAAAAGATGGGAAAGAATAATGAAAAAAGGTTAGTGTGCCATGTTTCCAAGGCAATCAAACAGAGCCTCTCTCCTTTACTTGTAAACTGAGGTTGTTTACTTAAGAGTCACTGAGAAGCAATCTTGTTCCCCACAATGCTGCTGATGTGGGGGAAGATCTAGTCATGTATGTTACTCTGAGGGAAAGAGGTGGGTTGCATGGTGGCAGGCACTAAACAGGCAATTTATTGGGTGGACAGACACAGTCCCATGGCACAGATTTGGCTATATGGTGTTACATCTCTTTCCATAATGCATCACACCACCTTAGGAAACATCTCTCACTTACTTCAGATATTTCCATCCTTGCATTTTTGGCATAATGTACTCATGGGTACCTGAGGAATCTGAGATATCATCAGAAATCAAGAGTTAGAATGCCAGAAGGTAAGGGCTTCAGCCACACACAGATACAATCTGACTGCTTTCAAGAACTCATGAGGTTGTTGGCACTCCCTTCTACAGCTTCTAGTCTGCTGGTTAAAGGGCTCTGGTGGATTCCATAAAAATAGTATAGAACTCTTCACACAGCATAAGTAGAGGCCTGCAGATTTACATATCTCCTCCAGCTTCCTAACCATTTCCCTATCCTGTAAAATGTTTCATTTCTGTATTTGAAATAGTAAGTTTTACTCATTTACATGGTACTCCAGGAGTCTTCTTGCAGATTTGATGATTTTGTTTCATGCACATTCAAATCTCAACTCCCTTCAAAGTTTAAATCTTCCACTCCTAGAGAATGTTTTATGGACTCAGGTTAATCCTTTGAGTATTTGAAGGTCTTAAGGCCTTTTCACAAGTATTTTTGAATATTCTCCATTCTCTTATTAATGAAAAATGCTCAGTCGTCACCTTCCAGTGTACCATCATAGAATAGTTAGGGTTGGAAAGGACCTTAAAATCATCTAGTTCCAACCCCCCCTGCCATGGGCAGGGACACCTCACACTAAACCATGTCACCTGAGACTCTGTCCAACCTGGCCTTGAACACTGCCAGGGATGGAGCATTCACAGCTTCCCTAGGCAACCCATTCCAGTGGCTCACCACCCTTACAGTAAAGAACTTCTTCCTTAGATCTAACCTGAACTTCACCTGTTTAAGTTTGAACCCATCACCCCTTGTCCTATCACTACAGTCCCTAACGAAGAGTCCATCCCCAGCATCCCTATAGGCCCTCTTCAGATACAGGAAGGCTGCTATGAGGTCTCCACGCAGCCTTCTCTTCTCCAGGCTGAACAGCCCCAACTTTCTCAGCCTGTCATCATACGGGAGGTGCTCCAGTCCCCTGATCATCCTCGTGGTCCTCCTCTGGACTTGTTCCAACAGTTCCATGTCCTTTTTATGTTGAGGACACCAGAACTGCACACAGTTCTCCAAGTGAGGTCTCACGAGAGCAGAGGGGCAGGATCACCTCCTTCGACCTGCTGGTCATGCTCCTTTTGATGCAGCCCAGGATACAGTTGGCTTTCTGGGCTGCAAGCTCACACTGAAGCTGGCTCATGTTCATTTTCTCATCAACCAACACCCCCAAATCTTTCTCCGCAGGGCTGCTCTGAATCATTTCTCTGCCCAGTCTGTAGCTGTGCCTAAACCTAGGTGTAGGACCTTGCACGTGGTTGAACTTCATAAGGCTGGCGTTGGCCCACCTCTCAAGTGTGTCAAGGTCCCTCTGGATGGCATCCTTTCCCTTCAGCATATCAAACAAACATACAGTTTAGTTGTTGATGGAAGAGGTGATGCCAGGCCATAGAAAGGATGTTTATTTAGCCTAGCATGTGAGGAATCCTAAAAATTTCCATTTCTAAAGAGATTTCAAACAGAAGACCCGAATATCATTTACTTGCAAAGCCCTACTGAATAAGCTTCGTATACATGTACAGTTTTAAAATAGAATCGTTCCAGTTGAAAGTACCTATAGTGATCATCTAGTCCAACTGAACATGAGCTGGCAGTGTGCCAGCTAGGCAGTGTGCCACTAGGCTTGGACAAATCAATTTGATGTGGAACAGGGAATAATTTACTCATTTCCTCATTAAGCTATTGCATGCCAGTTGATCTGTTTTAACTGTCCAATTTAGATTTCTATTTGCATGTCCTTCACAGGGATGAGTCTTCCCCAGACATTACTGTGGAGCAGCTGACGTGATGCTGCTTCTGCAATGCACACTGCGCTTGGCTGCTCATGGCCTTCAGGTCATAACCTGTTCTTTGCAGCATGGGAAGGAAAGGATGTGGGTAAGGAGGATAGCAAAGATGATGCCATAAAGTCAAGAGCTAGGCAAAGATGGTTTGGATCTTGTTACTGGAAAAGGGCACCTTTTATTTTTTACATATAACAAAGTACTCCCCCCCCCCCCCCTTCCCCCCAATCTGTTTTTGAGGACTGGGCAGGGCTAGTGCTGTTTACCTCTGTGCAGGAGCCAAAAGTAGTTAGTAAGGTACAGAAGCACCTCTTACACCTATTAAGCAAAATCTACACCTTCCTGTGCACAAAGTTCCCACGGCTACTCTCTCCGAGACAAACAAATGCCTTCAAGAACTGACTTCAAAACAGTAACACAGAACACAGATGCCAACAGCTTTCCATAAGATCTGTATGGCTGGCAACCAGAATGAGTGAAGCTTGGAGCAATACAAGCCAAATACTTTGAACACCTAGAAACCAGTATCCTGTTCTGTGCTACACATGAAAACCTCATGCAAGCACAGTCCCACTCACCCACTGTGTGTCATTGGTAGCTACAGATGATCATCAGACTGAATTAACTACTTCTCTGTAAACCAGGCAGCCCCCCCACTTGGCCATTTTGGTATGAACTACAGTCCATTACTGATGCATGCACCTGCCTATTTCAGTCCTATGCAATTTCCTTCCTGATCTCTGAACCATGTGTAGAACAGACAACAAATCAAATAAAACCTCATTGATGAGAAAAAAGACCAACTCTTGGGAAAAGCATTTTTGGTCACCACAGAAAAATGTTTTGAAATTAAGCTTGTACAGAAAAGGGCAGTGTCTAGTCCCCAGCAACAGAAAATTGCATGTGATATGTATTAGTACTCTTCTGCAAATGTAAGCCTGGTGCCTAGAATGCATCCACTGAAGCTTTACACCAGTACAGCAGACCCCACAGAGTATTCCCCAGAGGAGATGAGCCTGAGAATTCTACTTAGGACATCAGCTGATCACGAATAAAACCACATTAGCACAGTTTCAAGATGTTATCAAAGTGATGAATACAAACCAACAGGCTGAAGAACAGATGAAATCTTAGGACAGTTGATTTGGGGACACTCATGCAGGTCTTTTTTTGTTTGTTTGTTTTATACTTAGTACGATGAACTCTCATCTCTGGCAGTGTTCCTTTCTGCTCTTGATCTTGGAGTTCACAGCTCCTTGGTGTCAATAACTAGGGTCAGCAAGAAACATGTACCTACCTTTCAAATTCAGCAGAGAAACCAACAGAAAATTCATGTATCTGTGTGGGAGAGTTCACTTTTATGGAGATTACCAGATGATGAAGACTTAATAAGGCTGTGAGACAAAAGGAGTACAGGAAATTTTGATCTGGTTTGAAAGGCTCTGTCCCCATGCAGACTGGGTGAGATTCCTGTAAAGGCTGAAAGGACTGTAGATCTTTGTCCCCAAGGCTTCCTTTTCTGGAATTTTACCAGTACATCAGAACTAAGAGCCAGCTCCAATTTTGCTGAAATTAAAGAAAGCAAACACCCAAAAGAGGCATATGTTAAAAAAGAGCTAGCCTAGTTTCAAGAGGAAGGGCTAAACTGAACTTTAGACAACCAACAGTAAAGGAGGATATCAGAGTGTCTTACAAGTATTATTTCTGTTAAGGCAGAAATACTAGAAATATTAACTGCAGCCTGGTAAGAACTTGCTGTAAAATCAGAGGACAAAACAGCAAAAACTGATTCTCCTGATCATTTTACAACCGTAACACTGAGACATTAGAACATACAAAACAAGAGTCTAAATATCCATGCTTTCTTTATAAGAAAGCAGCTCAAAAGTTTCCATTCAAGTATGGCTCCTTTCTTTTCTAACCCACATGCTTCAGTTTATCAGCCCTCAATTGT